GTGTGCCCCAAGGGACTCAATCTTCAGAGTGTTTCTTTGTGGACGACAGTTCAAGATGTATATAATTGTTGATTCGGTTGAAGGAGTTCAGAAATCTAAAACAGTCTTTTGCAGAAGTTCTATGGCTCTTCAAGTGCCAAATTGGTACATGCTGTTGACGCGTATGAGGCTCCAAGCTTTCAAGCTTTCAACGAAGGCCCTTGCACTCTAGCGCTATGGCTGTGGTGGCCGCGCCTCCGGCAATCGAAGCTGAAGAGCTGGAGCGCCCCCACTTTCCTGGTGGATGGCGTTCAGTGCGTTCCCAAGCTCAAAATTGGAATGTTTCCCCGAACAGGTATTTTCAGCGGGGAGAACTTTGGCTTTAGGGTTAATCTTTTTGAGTGCATGGGAAACGCGCAATCGTCTCTAGGACCTGGGCGCATTTCTTGGAATGAGGATCGAGTGGCGCCTTTGTCTTCGCTTCTGGAGGGTTTTCTTCATATTGGAAAAATTTTGGGGAGTTCCGGGACACCTAGGTGTGACACCTCCTAATCCTGAGAATGAGAATGAAAAAACTCAATACCATCAAAACACTTTCTTACTGAGTTTAATGATTTCTCGGTATTGCAATTGCCCAAGGCGCGCATTGCAAACAGAATCAAGAAGTTGATGCCAATTGCGGCCATGAACATGTTTGAGAAGAAAACCTTTGAAGGTGGTGCGCTGATCTTGCTCAGCAGCGAGATCACCAATCCAAGCCAGGCAGAGATCTCGCAGAACTATGTCTTTTTGAAGCCGATGATCCAGGATTCCCCTAGCTGCGCGCCTTCAGCTTATATGCTCACAGACGTGTTTCTCTACTTGGACCGGCTCTTGAACAAGCAGCTATTCTGCAAAGCGACGAAGGATGAACCCAGGGAGGTGCAAGCTGGCAAAGAAGGAGTCAAGGCCAAGAAATGCATTGGCGCGCTACGCACTTTGTGGCGGTCTTCAACCAAGAGCCATGACCCAAGGGTTGCCGAGCTCAAGCAGATGATGACAGCATCGCCCACAAGAGCTCGTCGGCCCGCTCCTGACGCTCCTGCGGCTCCTGCCGCTCTTCGATCTTGTTTTAAAGTTTACGCGTTGTTTCGCGAAAGTTTAATGGATTTCAAAATCGTTGGACTTGCACCTTGGGTGTTAAAATGCTCACGAAACTCGGTGGAGATGCCGCGCAAGCATCCTGAGGCTGAAGACCCTGCGCATGACTCGGGCGATGAGGCCGACCATGGGCATCCTGATCCCGATGCCGCTGACAATGCGCTGATGGATGACTCATCAAGTTCTGCGGCCGAGGAGGTGGAGGAGGCAGGTGATGCTTCTCAGGGCAGCGGTGGAGGCAAAGGCGGTGAGCCATCTGAGAGCTATGACAGCAACTCTGAATCTGAGAACGATGAAGGCGAAGGCGATGATTGTGTGGCAGATGCCCAAAAAGAGCCGGTGAAGGATGACAGTGACTCCAACGCCGAGACCTTGATCCTTGGGCAAGGGCAATCATCGCCAGAGTCTGTAGCTGCTACTGACGGTAGCAGTGACAGTGATAGCGACCACCGGGATTCCCAGGTGAGTTCTGGTTGGATGGGAAAAGCTATCAACTACTACTCGCGGGTTGAGGCCAAGCGGAAGGCAAACCTGGACGCAACTTGCACGGATCTCTTGAAGGACAGCTCATTCACATCTCCGAAATGTACCATGATTCTCTGCAGTCAGTGGCCTTGAAAGAGATACTAAACCAAGTAAATTGTGTTTGGTTCGAGGCCTTTGGCTTTTGTGACCTGGTCATCCATTCAATAACTCTGTAAAATGCAAGCTAAGGGTTCACAAGGCATGGCGCGAAAGGCCACCATATGAATTCAGTCAGCGTGTGGAGAACCTTTCTAATTTTGATTTTACATTTCACAAAACAAAAACTTGATACAAAGTTGGTCCCTTCAGGATTTGGAGGAGTCATTGGAGCCAGGTGACGCTAAGCTCAAAAGCTTCATTCCTCCCTATGCCCGGTATTGCCGCCACACCATGGAATCTTTTGGGGAGGGAACCTATGCGCGGTTGGCGGGCAGGGACCACTTCGTATCATGGCTGGCACACCACAAGCTCATTGACGCCAAGGTGGTTCATAGAGTTCGTCATTGTATTCAATAATTGTTTAACCTGTTCATACCCCTATCTGACGTGTAGTAGGATGGTTGCGTGTCTTTGCCCGCATGCCCCTGTCCAGGAAGGTCCCCAAGATCCTTCGAACCAGCAGCGAAATGCGAGTTCCTCTTCGGGTGGGCGGCGTGGGGATTCTGCTGCGGCTGGGGTCGATGTCGCGTGGAGCCAATCAACAAGCTTTACTTAATTTATACTTTTTCTTGGGGTCAGGATGCAACACGAAACAAATCTTGGGATGTATTGTTATCCGGTCAACTTCCAGGCTTCGAAGCCTTTGAACAGAGCTTTGTCGTTTATGGACATGGACCAGGTTTTCCATGATGAAGATCTAGTTACTCCAACCCCTGCGTGCAAAAAGCCCCGCTTGGCTGACCAAATCCAAGCTGGACTGAACACCCCTACGCGCCCAGTCCCGAAGCAGTCAGCCCTTGGGCGGCGTTTCAAGAACCAAGTTTTTCTTCTTTGATATGTGGCAATTGCACATTACTATAGCTTTTCAAACACAAAGCCGTGTCGACAGCTCCACCAAATCTCCCATGGCCTCCTCAGGTGAAGAAGCCAAAGCAAGGTCGACTGGATGCCGATGCCAAACGCCTGCCAACATTCGGCGTGTATGACCTTCAGGCCTTGGGGGTACCGCAGGAAGCTTGGCCCATCGAGGGCAAGGAATACAAAGGTCAGAAGGGGTACACTGTCGTGAGCGACAGCGGGGCTGCACTTTGGATGACAGCCCTGAAGCTTTTATACACATGTTTCTACCCTGTCCATCTAGAGCTATGGGTGTTTGACCGTCTCTGTCCAAACTCTTTGAAATAGTGCTTCTGAGGCTATAGAGGTTTTGCTCTCTCAATCCGCCTTTGTGGTGAAGCGCTTTGGAACGATTGGCAAGAAGGAAGCACGATTGGACACTTTGAAGACAGGCCAAGTGTCTTGGAGCAAGTTCGGCGGCCCGGGGCCCGCTTGGGAACAAGCGAAGGCCAAGGCCAATTTCTAGGGTTTGTTTTGAGTTGCTGAGATTCAAAGGGGGTTCTGAAAGAACACACTTTCCAATTGAGTTAGGGGTTATGTCAAAGGCCTTTGCCAACATGTGCGGGCACTTGACCAACAAGTCATCTGACGATCGGAGATGAAAGTCCAGCCTTCTCGCCACGTCCCAGCTATCTGCAAGCAGTCCTGCGACAAGTCTTTCGAACTGCAATGGGCCCGCTCTGCCGAAAGGTACTCGAGCCCGCGTTCTTCACCTTCACCCTTGAAAAGAACGGCTCTTGGAAGGTGGCCTTGCGACCGCTTTTTAATAAAGAAAGAACCGTCTTTAGGCCACCTCACAAAACTGGCTTCAGGGACATTTCAACATGTAGAAGTACCCGGCAGGCCTACATCCTCGACACCATCAACGCCTTGTGGAAGGCGGCCTTCCAACCTCTTTTTAATGAAAGAAAACAGTCTTTAGGCCACCTCTGCAAAACTGGCTTCTGGAATAATTCAACATGTAGAAGTATCCGGCAGGCCTACATCCTGGACACCATCAGCGCCTGTCTGTGTTCTTCACTCGTGGAAGGTGGCCTTGCAACCTCTTTTTACTTTAGAAAGAACAGTCTTTAGGCAACCTTCTGGAACATTTCAATACGTAGAAGTATCCGGCAGGCCTACATCCTGGACACCATCAGCGCCTGTCTGTGTTCTTCACTCGTGGAAGGTGGCCTTGCAACCTCTTTTTACTTTAGAAAGAACAGTCTTTAGGCCACCTTCTGGAACATTTCAACACGTAGAAGCATCCGGCAGGCCTACATCCTGGACACCATCTACGAAGCCTACGTCGGGTTCACCGTTGCTGTGTCTGGAGGCAGGGCCATACACCACTCAGGAGCGTCAATGAAAAAGTTCAGCATTTCTTGGAAGCCTCCAGCAACCTATACATGTCCGTCAGGCCCTACAAGGGCACAGCTATCACCACCGCAAGGCGTGCTCACATTGCGCATGTAGAACTGGAAAACCAGCAGTGGGAAAACTGGAAAACATGATTATATTTAGTGTTAAGGAGAACAGTCCAGCTTGACATGCATACTTTGTACTTGATACGCTGCCGATTTGGCACGCAGGCCTTGGTTGACCTGCCAACCCCTCTTCTGCGAGGCTTGTCCGGGCGCCGTAAACCTGGCCTCTCGCAGGTTTGATCAGCTGTGCTTAGATGTCCACTCCTGCGTTTTGCCATTTAAAGCCGAGGGTGTGTGGTCGATTCGTTTCGCGCCTGTTTGTCATGGGGAAAGTCTCGGCGGCTATGATCAAGAAGAAGATGGAGAGGGTGCATAAACGCATGCCCTTTGTCCCCGAAGAGTCGCCGACCATTAGGCAGCCGAGATCTATGAAGGATCGGCAGCAATTGTGGTTGCTGGCAGGGTTGAAACACTTGAAGGCGCCAATTGCTCCTATGCGTTGATAGGTCAATGTTTTTCCTGTGGCCTGTGGGTGACCTGCCCCCCAACCCAAAAAGATGCCAACTAATAAGTTGAACCCAACCAACCAAGAAGTATTTGGCCTTGGTTGCTCAGGTTATCGCCACCCTGGTGAACTTGGTCTTTGCTGTGCCAGGTCTTTCGTGGGAGCCATTAGACCATCTGGAGACCTTTGCCGGGCAAATGGAGGTGACAAAGGCTGAATGGTCTGCTCCCAGATTAAACTTAGCAAGGTTGGCTTATCGGTATAGGTTTTGGGTTTGCCCGTCGCATCTCGATTGTGCCTTCTGCTCGAGGGGGTTTGAGAAGATATAAAATACATAGCGCCCACTAATATGATTAGTCTATATCAATCGTGTGTCCCCCCAACTCCCTCGGAACACACGATAAGGAAGGCCGCAACGCGATCCCGCTTGATGTCACCTACAACCCAAGCACCATGGATTTCACGAGTCCAGTTGGGTTTGCCAACGCACTCTACCATGCTATGCGGCTAAAGCCGGGTGCTTCAGCCACCACGGCACCGGTGTGCTCCACATTCGTTTTTATGCCATTTGCAGGATTCAAGTATCTTTTACCTTTTGGGTGGTTTAAATTGGAAGTTTCTTGACTTTCTTCAATCACTCGCCCAAAAGCAACGCTGTCATCCCATGCTCCTTCGCGCTGAAGCTGAGGAGCAAAGGTTCTACCTTGAGATCAAAAACAAATCCACTTGGCCGCCCCGACTCGGAGGCATGCAAGATTGGCAACTTACTTGCTGCTCGGGCAATCGTTCTCTGCTTGGTTTGTGCAGCAAAGGGCGTATTCTGGTGCCTGGAGCAACCAGGTACTTCATGTATGGAGTACCACCCAGTGTTTCAAGCCCTGGTACGTATAGTGCGCGTACACCGGCTGCGAATGAAGATGGGAGATTTTGGAGCACCGTCGCCGAAGAGTACACTTTTGTACAGCAGTGCCTGGGTTTGGAAGGGGTCAAAATTTGGTGTAACTTCAAGACAATAGAGGGTAGAGGCTTCTCACCGTATGTCCTTCTTTAGACTTCTCCACTTCCTCTCAAAAGTCTTGGATCATCTATGTATCAAAAAAATTGTGCGTGGGTACTGCATGCGTGGGTTCATGTGGGCCTGAGGTCACCAGTGTATAGATGACATTCTTTGGCACACTACCGGCCCGGCGCAACGTGGCAGCCCTGTGCAAATGGTCAAGCACTATGTGGATTCCAAGGGCAAACCAAGAGTTTGTGGAGGGCGTGATCTCAAACAATCTCAAGCATACCCTGCAGGGTGACTAGGTTGAGAATGTGGTAACAGCTAAACCCATAACCCCAAAAATGTTTCAAGTTCAGGAATTGTTCAACTGTATGTCAATGGGTGATGGCCCCTGTTTGATCCAGCCATCTTCCCAGGTTCGCCAGTGCCCTCTCAAGGGTCCGCACGGCCCACTTGAAGAAGAACCATCGCACCGCTGTGAAGTTCCTTCGGGCTGCCAGGAAGACACCGAATTCCTTCGACATGCGGCCCCGAGTGAACTCTCTTTGGTCTAAACACGCTGACCTAGATTCAGCGATCAAATTCCTTTCTTTAGGCAAGTAAAACTTTAGCTTGCCTGGCAAGAAATTAGATGGCTTAGTGGTCTTAGCCACGCCATTTGGGGTCTTGGAGACATGAGCTCGATCTTAACAGAAAAGAACAATCAAGCGATACGAACAATCTGAGAACACAAGATTCAGTCTCTCAGGTAGTCGACAGGGCTAGCCACCACCCACCAGCTACCCTAGAAAGCTGCCAACCCTATCCACCACGGCGGAGGCAATGCCACCACGCCTCTTCCTGAAGCGGTCTTTCATAGGCCTGGCCCGTGCTCTTTAAGATCGGGAAACGAAGGGAAACGTGAAAGCGTTTCAAAGTGAACTTTTTTTGTGAAAAAACAATCAAAACCACTATTGCGATTTGCAGCGAGAATGTTGCGATTTGTCGAGAAATGTTGCGATTTGTAGTTTTGCAAGGTTTTGGCTTCTCGAGGCCAGTGGTCCAGGTGAAAAGCAAACAAACACCAATGGGCACACATACACGCACGTCTAGCGCATACGACCAATGCTGTGATTTGTAGTTGCGTGGTGTGTGTGTGTGTGTGGTGTGTGCTACCCACTCTTCGTCAGCGCGAAGCATGGCAGACAGCGGAGCACCAGCTCACCGTGTGACCGGCAAGGGGCGCCCTTCAGCCCTAAGAAATCCTCTTCCACCAGAGCAGCAAAGGGGTCGAACCATGGAGAAGGAATCCAAACGCAAGAAAAGGGGTCACGAAGCAATTGGGTCAGACCATCGTGGAAAGAAAGCTAAGCGTGAAGAGAAATCGAAGGGGAAAGAAAAGAAGCATAAGGAGGAGACTCCCAAGACCAAGGTGGAGGCAGCGAAATCAAAAAAGGAAGCGGCTCCCAAGTCCATAGTCGATGAGAAAGTAGGCGAGGGGAAGAAGACGCATAAGAAAAAGTCAGAGGCTGGCAAGGAAGCCTCTTCGAAGAAGAAAACCAAGGAGGTGCCCAAGGAAGATTCCAATGAACAGGAGAACAAGAAGACGAAGGTTGGCAATGAAGTTCCCAAGAAAGGAGAGAATGAGAAGGGGGAAAGGGAGGATCATTCCAAGGGCAAGGAGAAAGAAAAGAAGGGCGAAAGAAAGGGCGGTAGTTCCAAGGACAAAGGAAAGGAGAAGGCCAAGAAAGAAGATGGTTGCAGGGAGAGAGGAAAGAAGAAGGCGGATCAGGAAAGCAAGAAGGAAAAGAAGGCGAAGATCGAAGAAGCTCCCATCCAAGAGGAGAAGGAAAGGGAAAAGGAAAACATCGTGGAAAGCAAGGATGATGACAAAGAGAAGAAAGAGAAGAAAGAGAAGAAGGGCGGCGACGACAAGCGTGATGGGAAGAAGGAGAAGAAAGCCAACAAAGGAAGGTCCAGCAAGCATAAGAAGAAGGAGAAAAAGGGGAAGGCAAAGAAAGAAAAGGAAAAGCGGATCAAGTATGTGCCTCTCATCAAGGACAAGATCCGTCATGTGGTGGAAACCCCCGCGTCAAAGAGACCACCGCTCGCATCGCCAGTGTCAGCAGCTTCAAGCACCACAGCCAGACAAAAGGCCGAAGCAAAGATGCAGGATTTGCTCAATACAATGGTTCCTTCTGATCTGGATGATGTGTTGTCTGAATCAGGCACTGAGCAAACCCCATCGTCAAGTCTGGTCGTACCAAGAGATTCCTTGCCAGAATGGGGCAGTGACGAGAGCAGTGAGACAAGTGATGAGGCAGCGACTGACTCGGAGACAGACGAGGCAGCAAGTGACCCGGAGACAGATGAAGAAGAAGGAGGAGGTGGCAAGGTGCCTAAGGCGGAAGAGGATGGAGTGAAAGAAGAAAAAGAAGAAGCAAAAGAAGAAGAGAAAAAAGAAGAAGAAGAGGGTTCAAGCAGCGAGGACGAGGACAGTTCAGAGAATGATGAAGAGGAGGACAGTTGTGAATCCGATGGAGAAGAGTCTGAAGAGGAGGACATGGAAGAAGATGATGAAGTAGAAGCGGGTCGGGGTGAAGTTCCAGATCCTCCCACCGATGGGGCCGCCTGCCATGCTTTGGTTCCCGTTGCCCAGAGTTCTTTGGATCAAGCTGTGGCAGTACGCAACAGCGCCCCGCCAAATCAAAAACGATGTGCATTTTTTGTCTTAAATCCTAAACCACAATTGTTTGGCAGGAGCGTCTTAAAGTCTTAAACACCAGTTGTTTGCAGGTGTCGGTGTAGCTGCGCAGTGTGCTTCGTTTTCCCAATGTGCACGAGGCGTGACGCACAAAAAGGAGTGGGACACTTTCTCACGCCAGCTGTCTTCCAAGAAACTTCCTGGCAATATCGGCGAGTACGCTGTGTCAAACAAACATGACCTTTTTGGGTTGTGGTTGGACAACGGCCACGTGTGGGATCGCGTGGCGCTGGAGGTGGAGCGCAAGACTTCATCCAAGGCTACTTCCGCGCGTGGCTGGGAGGCTGTGCAGGGTAAAACCCTGCGCAAGCGCTATGAGGACGACGACAAGTACAAAAAGATCATTGCTGCTCGCAAGGAACAGGGCATGTTCTATCGGGATGATGACTTCCCTGACGACGATGATGAGGCCCAGCTTTCTTGAGCACGTTTTGCCAGCTACTTCCAGATGAGGTTGAAAGGGCAAAAAACGAAAGGTGTCACAAGGATCCTTATGACACCTTTCGTTTTATGCCCTTTCAACCTCTTCTCGTTTCTTTTCTTGCGAGGGTGGCTTTGTCCGTGTTTTCTTTTCTTGCGAGGGGGGGCTTTGTCTGCGCACTATGTTTGACCCATCTAAGGAAGCATGGTATTTCATGCGAACGGCGCAAACTTTCAAACAAGAGGAAATCACCGAGGAGTCTATGAAGTTGAAGGGCAAGGCCAAGGTAGACCAGGGTTTGCAGGATGCCCTATGTGATGCTGAGAGTGGGGTTCTGAGGGCAGGAGTCTTGCCGCAGCTGTCAGCCGCGACACCGCAGGGTTCAAAGAAGCTTGTGGACGCACTGCAGAAGGCTTGACCATGGGGTCTGATCGGTCCAAGCATGAAGGGTTGAAAGCGTCCATACAAAACACATAACCCCAAACACTCTACTATTTTTGCAAGCTCCCAACTTTTGTCGCCCTTTTCTTCCTATGTTTGTCTTTTCAAGCGCTGTCGCTCCTGGCTTTATTTACACCTGCGTTTGCGTGTTTTTTGCGGGTCCAGCCCTGCTTTGTGCAGGTGACCGCCGCGCCCAAGAGGAAGCCTAAGCCTTCTGATCAGAACTCAGAGGAAGTGCATCCCAAGACAGCTGAGGAGCTTGCGAGGGAGAGGCAGCCAGAGCTGTTGAAACTCGCAGCGACTTGTCGGACCCACTCGATTGAGCTTTCCGCTGTGGAGTACGCGTCAGAACTCTCGAACCAGCTCTTGTCACATGCTGGCGATGTGGAGACTTGCTTCAAGGACGTCCAGAAAGCTCTTGATGCGGGGGCTGAGGAGGAGGGCTTGAACACCATTCTTGAGAAAGCAAACCGGCTTGAAGCTGTGGTTGAGAAAGCGAAGGCCAGGTAATAGTGTGGTTGAAACTGAAGCGGGAAACAAACAAACGATAAGAAAACAGTGTGTTTGTTTACTGTCAAGAAGGTCTTCGGCATTCCAAATCCAAAGCGAACATGTCATGTGTCAAAAATCTGGAGGCCGCAGCAGGAGCTTTGCTGCCTAAGAAAAAGAAGCCAAAGAAGAAAAAGAGTACTGAGGGTACAAGTGCTGAGGGGAAAGCTTAGGCCTAAAGCCTTTTTTGCGCAGGGGTGCCGAGGCAAAGGGTAATCCCTTTGCACGTGGGAGCTTCTTAGAGCGAGCTGTCTTCGACGTGAAAAAGGTGAGCGAATATCGTTTACAAAGCAAACTGTGGCTTGGAATTGAATGTTTCAATCTTCCCTTCTCAACATAAAAGTGTGAGGGAATTGCTTTTACAAAGCAACTCTTGGGATTGAGCCCCTGTATGGTTGCTTAGCTGGTTTAATGGCACTGGGAAACCTGGCCAGGTAAGCCTGTGACTTCATCAAGGACCCGTGTTTGAACTATCGAGGGAAGCCTTTGGGGGCATCATGATGAAACATCTATTGTTGAACAATGCCTTTTACTAGCCATCATTGTGCGCTGCTACAGATAAAAGGAAAGACCAGTTGAATATTATACAAATAGATACTAATAGACATATACAAATATACACTTGATATATATATATATATCAAGATGAAAATACCTGTTCACACTAGCTGGATTTTTTGACGCTTGGAGGAAGCGCCAACGGCTTGAGGATTTGGAGCGTTCAAACACAGTGGAAACACTGACCAGTCTTGTTGGAAGGGGCCAACTGCATATATCTGCTGCTGCAGAGATTGCCCAGAACATTGTCAAGGATACAGAGTTTCCTCCCGCGGCCCTTCGCGCGTTTGCTAGCCTCGGAGCTGCAGGAGATCATCCGCAGAATTGTGAGAGGGACCTCCATCGTTGGCTGCGCAATCTTTTTGGTGTGCGTTTGGAACCCTACAAAATCCACCTAGACTTGCAGGTGTGCAAGGGTAAAATGTGTTGGTTTGGATTGGAACTATCTATCTATCAGCTAACTATCTATCAGCTACACTGATCCTGTCCAGGTGGATGGTGCCAAAGCAACAAAAACACCTGTCTACGTCCTGCTACCTCATGAAATCATCCATTGCCTTGCAACCTCCCACTGCCCATTTCTCTTCAACTCTGCGCTGCTTGGAAACTTGGATGGGGTTGCTAGAGCGCAGTTCTGGTCCCACGTGTATTCATTGGACCCCTGGAAAACGCACCCTGTGCTGAACAGAGATGATGTTCAGTTTGACAAGCTGATCGGTGTCACCATCCACGGGGATGGTGCAGCCATGAAAAGGGAAGACGAGGCGTTCGTTTTCTCAATCGCATCATGCTTCGGGAGCAGTGGCATTATCAAGGACCCCCTGTTGCTGAAATATCCAATCGCGATTATCTTGGAGCGTCATATGCACTCAAAGACAGCTACTCAACTCAACATCTGTCATGTTTTTTACAGAACGTACTAACTACCAATCTTGGGATACCAAAAAAGGCTTCACTTTGGCTGACCATGGTTTGAAGAGCAAATGTTTGCCCTAGGTAGCGAAACGGGTCAATGAAGAAATTGCTGGCCTGGTAGCGTGGTCTCTTGAGCACGCAGCCAGCGGCATAGCTCCAGTGCGCGGCTACAACGGAGAAACCTTTCCACCCAAATCCTACCGGGCTGAACTTGCTGGAAAGACTTTAGCGTTGGGGTGGAAGCCCTTGACCTTTGATTAGGCAATGCTTTTATGTTCCTCTTAAGGGTATGTAGGGTCTAGTTTAGTCATTAATTCATTCCTGGGATAGTTTTGACCTTGGAACTTCTCTTTGAAGGGTATGCTATTTTGCCATGAAGTCCGACTTAAAGGCCAGACAGTATTTGAACAACTTCTCCCGATACTACAAGTGTGGATTGTCGCTGGGCTGCCACAGAATGTAGCCAAATATTTTCTGAGTTGCCCGCTGCAAAAATGCTGTCAGGGTTTCGAGTGTTTTGGTTCCAGGGTTGCTGTCAACTAAGGGTGTGTGATACGTGCCTAGCTGGAAATACCAAAGCAACGCCAGATTCCATGAACTACCGTAACTTTGGGTCAACGGCAGCCTGGCCTTTGACAAAGCTGGGACACGATGCCTACCTCCAAAGAGAGGGTTGCCGAATTTCTCCATGGGCGGCTGTTCCAGGATACCGCATCGAGACAGTTGCCTACGATTGGATGCATAACATCTTTCTAGGTGTTGGAAGAGATTTAGTTGGGTCTGGACTCAGGACTTTGGTCTTGCAAGGGGTTTACGAACATGTGGTTCCTTCTCGTGATCTAGACGCCACCCTTGAGTGCATCCACCAAGAGATGCGCGCAGACTGCGCCAAGAATGGGTGTCTTGGAATTCATGGTAGGTTTTCTTGAAACCAACTGCATTGTTTTGTTATAGGAGTCAATAGGTACGTTTCTGTCAGGTAGATTCATGCTGTTCACCAACTAGTTGTCTATAGGCAATATTTGCCATGCAAGCCTGTGTTGAATACTGCAAGCGTTGGCGGCACGGCGGAGTATGCTGAGCTTTCTACACGCTACAAAGCGTCGCATGTAAAGCTGATGATCTCTTGGCTGGCACGGAAAACTCAAAAAGTTGCTGACAACAGACCGGAAGAAACCAGTTTGTATAAAATCGCCCGCCCTCAAAACTTTGGTTCAAATCATAAGGGGCCACCATCAAGTACCCTAGAAGGCTTCTCCACAAGTTTTCAGGGTGGCGTCAAGGTTTTCTCCTTCGTTGAATGTGACAACAGTGTTGCACAAGAGCTGTTCTAACTACTGTTTTTTAACAGTGGTGGCTTTAAAGGATCTGCTTCTCAATGTGCTGGCAACGTGCGCCTACAGTCTACAGCGTGCCATAGAGATCATGGACTCTGCAGGACTTGTATTGAGCAACGATGACGCGCGTGAAGCCAAGCAATCGCTCATCTCCTATGTGCAAAGCTTTTGTTGGTTGGCGCTCCACTGTTGCGACAACCACCTTTTGTTGTTCAAGGTAAGGCCCAAGACCCATTACCTTTACCATGTTGCCACCGAAGTGGGTGAACTTCGATTAAATCAGAACTTGACTCATACATTTGAAGAAGAGTCCTTTTTGGGCAAGATCAAGGCCATTGCGGCCAAAACCCATGGAAAAACGATGACCCAAAGGGTCTTTCAAAGATACCTGTTGTGCTTCGCGGTGTTCATCGACCAAGACTGCAGGCGAACGTGACCGAGAAAACCCGAGTGTGCTTGCTTATATGTCAGGTACTTTCAAAACATGTGCAGTCATTTTTTCGAAAACGCGCGAGAACAAGCTGCCAAACAAGCGTTGGTTCCTGTGTCCTGTGTGTGTCAGTATACCCATAGTGTGTGTGCTCTACTTTGAATATATGGGTGTGTTTTTTGTCCTATGTCACATGTCAAGCACTTTTCTTAAAGGTGACCTTCCGAGTTACAATCGTTTCCTATAGGCCTTATATGCTATTTTCTCATGGTTTTGACCGCTGTCATTTCGTCGTTTCCACAAGCCGGCGGCGTTTTCAGCGACCGCTGTCGTTTCCACAAACCGATGGCGTTTTCAGCAACCGCTGTCGTTTCCACAAAACGGTGGCGTTTTCAGCAACCGCTGTCGTTTCCACAAAACGGTTGCGTTTTGAGCAACCGCTGTCGTTTCCACAAAACGGTTGCGTTTTTAGCAGCCGTTGTCGTTTTCAGAAACCACTGTCGTTCGCATCGAGAACGACGATGTCGCACGAGCAAAAGCTTGATAAATGGCTCGATGGAGCTTGCTGAGGTTTGGCTTCATAGAAGCTTGCAATCTTTTGTTGCAGTCATCAAGCTCAACTTTAAGATAAACATACAACATGCATTCTTTAGTAAGAATGCACACGGCAACGTTGTATGCCAACGACAACGTTTTGGTCCAACGTTGTCGTTTGTATAGAATGCTGTCCCAATGGCAACGTTGGATCCTCTAGGTATGTCCGGACCCTTGAAGGCCAAGCCATCCCTGTACTAGGCCTCCTCGACAAAGTGACAGGTTTCCACATGGCAGCAATCCTCCAGAGCCGAGACGCTGACGTCGTGGTCCAGACCATCCGCCAGATGTGGTTGAAACCCTTCGGACTGCCCTCCTCATGATCTTTGACCCAGACCCGTGTTTCAAGGGAAGATGCCCAGAGCAGATTGAAGCCCTTCGAATCAGACTGGATTTCTGTCCAGCCGCTCACTGGATGATCGGAGCCATCGAGAGGAGAAACTCCATCCTCCGTATGATCCTTGAGAAGCTGGTAGACCAGTTCGCCATCGACAATACAGACCAACTCGAAGCAGTACTTCCAATGGCGCTCCACGCCATCAATTCCAGCACCATGACCAGAGGAAGAACGGCGTACCAAGCCGTCTTCGGCCGTGTACCCACACCGCCCTGGCATCATCGGCAGGACATCCAGACAAGAGCGACAACCTCATGGCCAAAGCCGAGATCATCAGATCCGAGGCCCAAAAGCACCTGTTGGACCTCAACGCCTCACAACACCTCACAAGAGAGCAATACTCCGCCGAATGGTCCGAACCCGGATCCCGGCGCTACAACCAGGCCAACCGTGCGCCTACTGGCGTTGGGCCTGGAAGGGTCTAAAGAAGAGAGGCAGCTGGACAATTGCCAGATTCCTAGCATGGGATCCAACTTCACCCACGAAGCTGGCGTGGCTTCGAACAGGCAACGCGACCACCCTGGTCACAACCGAACAGCTTAGAGCCGCAGTGGGGTTCGAGGAATGCCCACCGTCAGAACAGGACATCCGCCTCTTGAAGGATGCCTCCCAAAGCTTTACCAAGCAGATGCTGACTGACGGCCGCCTTGAAGATGAGACTGGACAAGGCCCGCCAGAAGAGGCCACTCACGAGGACTATCAACCAGCCCTCGAACCAGCCTTCCACCCACCAACCGTGAGCATGACGGTGCCAGCAAGGCAACCAGAACAGACTTTGCCTGTTCCAGGAACACCGTCACCGCAGACACCCTCCAAAACATTCACGATGAGAGCGCCAATGTGAACGTCCAGGTGTCTCCAGTCCACACACCGGCACACAGGACACCAGTTCACAGCTATGGCAAACTACCACGAGAGCGAACGCCAAGGCGGGCGCGGCGCGCCCAGCTGACACCTGCACCTATATACACCACGACCTCCACTCCAGATTGAGGCCGAAGCAGAGACACCACAGCTGGAAGACGCACCTCCGCCCACGGCACCAGTTTCACCACCACTCTACCAGCCATCATGTTGAAGACGCGAATGGTGAGGAGATCCCAGGTCCACCTTCGGTCACGGCACCAGACCAGACCACCGCAGGCAATAAGGCCACAGGCGAAACCGCCATGGATGAACACCATCCCGGGCGGACTGTATCACCACATCAACTTGCAGAGTCGGAAGAACCGAAACAAGAACAGAGAGACCACCATTGGCACCATGTTCCTGAGACACCACCAGTCTCCGTCTCACACCCGCCCCAACATTTTGCTGGAACGCAAACGCAAACGGCATCGGCAGCAGCGGCAGCCTCTTCTTCCTTGGCACCACCTCAGACAGTACAAGAATACACAGAAGAGCCACTACCACTGCTACCGCACAGAAGCGCCATTTCGAAGCAATGGCAACATTGATGCTAGATGATGACAACAACATCGTCAGGGTATCCAAGCACAACGACGGATCACTCCCCATGGGTTTTGGACCAAAACACCAAAGCTCCCACCGGGCATACCTCACCAGCCCACAACGTAGGCGTGATGTGCTGAATACCACCAAAGAACCAACAGAGTCTGACAGCAGTGCAGACTCATCAGATGATGACGAAAACGTCAAAGAACAAAGCAAGCAACCCAGAATGACAAGACGGGAGCAAAAGCAGCTCGACAGAGAACTGCCTTGGAGGACCATTTTGGCCACTATGTCCAAGCCAGCACTTGAGCAGTTCATCAAGCCTATGACTCCTGGATGGAATGGCAGTCCATCGAGGCCCCTTGACGACAAGCAGACACAGCAAGTGCTCGATGATCCACAGCTCAGGAAAAGATGCCTGAGATCCCGGCAGCCTACCGAGACAAGAACAGGGGCTGTGGTGAGCTGAAGGCCAAATGCAGAGTCGTGGCCCCAGGCCATACAAACCCAGACCTGTTTTCACTCACCCGATCGGCTCCCACTCCAGGCCGACTGAGCGAACAAATCCTGTACAGCGTGATAGTTGCAGGATACAACAGCCAGCTTGGCGACTGCGGACTTCCATGGACAGCATGGATTGGTGACGCAAGCGCAGCCTTCCTACAGGGCAGCCAACCAGATGGAGAACGTCCCCTTCCCTTGTTTTTGTGGCCACCCAAGGACCCATTGATCCAAATGACGAAGTGTTGGCAAAACAAACGGTACAGGGTACGTGGGAACATCTATGGTCTCAGCAACGGCCCGTACCTTTGGTGCATGGAAATTGTGAGTCGCCTCACTTCCAAGGGCTACCAACGTCACCGGTGCAATGTTGTTTTTGAAGTTTGATGATCAAGACAATTTGCTGTCGGCCATACTCGTCTACGTTGACGATTTCATCGGAGTTGCCAGGTCCGACTATGACCTCACCGAAGTGACCTCCCTATTCAAGTGGGGAGAACACAAGCAGCTTGGACTGAATGCACCAGTCACCTTTAAGGGCAAAGAATTGACCCTCACCAAGCACCACGACATCTTCGAGCTCAAGATCTCCATGAAGACCTTCGCGGACGGCTTGCAGTCCGGAACCACCAAAAGAGGTCGAGGCCCTACCGACCTTTTGGACGAGACAGAGAAGAAAGAGTTCAGAAGCGTCGCTGGATGTCTTCAGTGGATCACCGGACAGGCGAGACCAGAAGTGGCGCCTGCAATCAGCCTTCACAACCGTGGCGGCAAGACGATGGTTTCTGACCTTAAGGTTTTGTACTCCACCGTCGACTTCCTCAAGCAGACGGCCGACCGTGGCATGCTGGTCACGAACGTTCCAGTCAACAAGTAAAGCATGTTGGTCACCTACACTGACGCCAGCTTCGCCAATGCGGAGTACTCGAGCTCCCAACTGGGCGTTTTGGTCTGCCTCACAAGGCCCGAGGCCAAGAGCGCGACCCAGCCGGTCAATGTCCTCGATTGGCGTTCTTGCCGGTCACAGCGTGTTTGCAGGAGCGCCCTGGCTTCCGAAAGTTCCGCTGCAGACGAAGGAGCAGATCGTGCGGCGTACGCCAATATGATGCTGTCGGAGATACTTTACAACATACCAGCACATCGAGCCGGTTGCAAGTTGAACTTCGCCGAATGCACCGATGCGAAGTCACTCTACGACTGCATCACGAACGAAGCTCCAAACACGACCGACAAGCGGTCCCTGATCAACATCAGGGCTGTCCAGGAGACGGTAGCTGCCAAGGACTACCACTGGGTCCCAACGACCCTGATGTTCGCGGACGGGTTGACGAAATATGACCCAAAGCTCCGTGAGATTTTCTCTTGTTGGTTGCAACGGCCGTTCACCACGCTGAAGGATCAACAAAACAAAGACGAGTGTCAAAATCACGCCAAAGCCTTCCTTGATCCTTCAGGTCCGTGATGATCGACTCCCGTGATCCTTGATGCTCAGGATCCTTTTCCCAAGCCTTTTACTTCACCGTGTGCCATGGTGGAAAATACCTTTAGAGCGAGCCGCTCTAGCTGTGTTCGATCTCGGTCGCGCTCGACTTGTGATCGATTAGAGAAACAAAGAGAGACGTGAAGCAAGCAAGAGAAACAAGAAACACATATGAAAAGACAGACAGGGCAAAAAGGCGCAAAGCAGAGGAGAAGAAAATCAAAGAACAACAACATGGAACGCACAGAAGCAGAAAACATGGAAAAGCAGAAAAGCGCAAAAAGACGAGAAGCAGAAAAGAACAGAAGCAGAAAGCAGAGAAAGCTGAAAAGCAGAAGCAGAGAAGTGGAAAAACAAAGAAGCAGAAAGTCAAAGCCCAAAAGCAAAAAATGAGAAGCCAAGAAATTGGAAAAAAACAATAGAAGGAATCCCAAAATATTCCAAACCCAAAAAACACACCCAGGAAAAATTGCCCTCCCGATGCTGAGGGCGGAAATGTTCTGTGGTGCAAGAGGGGCCAAACCGTTTTTTTGCCTACAGTATATTTGCACAATGTTTGAACACACTGGGAAGCACGTTTGCTTAGAGCTGATTGATGCGGTACAATATATATATATATGTATACTATTTGTACATAAACATACACACATACACGTAGATAAACATATGCATATGCATGCTGCATATGTATATGCCAACCAGAGAGGTCCACCAGAGACGTGTGGGGTTACCCCGTCACGCAGCCCTAAGCCAAAAAATATTTTGGCCTAGGATTGTACTTAGAGTCTTTTCGGAACATAGCGTGGGTTGCAACGCTGTGTATACGTCTAATTGCTCCAAATTGTCTTGCTTGCCGACTTGTTCTATTTGCTCTTGCTCATTTCATGCTTTGTTTTCACATTAAATTGCTCAATCTTCTTAATTTCACTTCGAGATCCTTCTTGAAGCAATGCAGGGAGGGGTGCTGTGAAAGGACTGGACAGATGAGCAATTTGGTTGCAAAATGCTCAGACTTCGAATTTTACCTATTTTTGACCACAAGTTCAATGAACAGTTGTTTCAGCGGAAGTTTCCAAACGCCCACAGTGAGGGTTGAAAAATGTTCCACACAGTTTCTGGCTGTTATGGAGGCGTCTTCCACTGAACCAGCATTCTGAATAAAGATTTCATAAAGGAACATTGGAAAATAAGACGATGAACAGTAGACACCTCTTGCGAAAGGTTCCTTTTTCTAAAGGAGGTTTTGCATAACAAAGGAAGGCTGTGGACATGGTGGGCTTCATGACGGAGGATTGTCTTGACAAGCGAAGCAAAACCACGCAAGGCCCAAATTTCCGAAAAGCGTGACAACAACGGATGTCTACCGACCATACCTTGAACTGCCTTCAAAAGTAGACATGTGACATGTCAAAGAAAGCCAACCTTGTTTTTCAAGCCAGATGGAATCAGATAGGTCACTATGAACGGTGGTGATATGGATTGTCTCCCTGCCAAAAAAGATGCAACCCTGTGATTTTGGGGTGGACACACACACACACACTTATGGAGATGCGTACGGAACTGACAGCGGTGCCACACGCCGGCCTAGGGTACCTATTCCTAAGGGTACAGGTAAGGAAACCTGAAAAGGAAGTGGAGGTCCATCAAGTTCAGCGTGGCCATCTAATCTAAAGGAGCCATCGAACGATCGACGGACAGAATGACGTCGTCCGCTCACATCTGCAAGTCAAAAACCAAAGCCCTATGCGTGACTGCCGAGAGCAAACCGGTGCAAAGGCTGGATTTTTTGTTCTAGTTACAAGCAGGGCCCACGATGAAATTTTTCAAGTAAAACGCAGGTACGTCACTGGACGTCTCCAGTCATATCAGTACCGCCACAGAAGCCTCTTCGTCGGACTGTCACTTCTGCGGGGCAGACAGTCCCCCTGCTTAAAACAAAGCAAATTACAATTCAAAAGAATCCCTGTGACTACAAGGGGCACACACACACACGCCTCCCCGAGGGGAGGCGTACAGCTGAGGTGAGGGCAAATGTGCACGTGTGCCCGCGCAAGAGACAAAAGAATGAAGACATGACAGGAGGACAAGACGGGACGAAGGTGCGTGTGGTTGAAATGAAAGGGGAACCAAGTGCACAGGGACACCCGATGAAGCCCACCTCATTGTAAAGACCTGGGCGACCTGAAACCTGTGTTAAAATGTATGTAGAAGTGCACGTACACACTAAGGCCGGGACCAATGTGCGTGCAAACGAAGAAAAGGATGAGATGACCAGACATGAAGACAGGAGGACATGAAAGAAAAGAGGAAACAAAAGGGTGTGAAGGGGAAGGGATGAAAGAAACGGAGGGGACGAGAACCGATGAAACCAAACCTCATTAGAAGCACCTAGGGATCTGCCTCGTTTGAATGTAAGCGCTGTGTGTGCACCTGAGAGTGGGACAGGGTCCAATGAACCTTGAACAAGCTTCGGTCGCTGCGACCACGTACGCCGTGCCAAAATGGCTGGCTGCTTAGACCGCTGCGGTCACGTAAAGGCATGAGCCAACCTGGAATTCCAAAGATGAGACAAAAATCGGAGTTCTTTCGGCCTAGGCCACCTGCTGTCGGCTCCGGACACCTACGTTCCCAAAGCCGGGGAACGTGGACAGACACCCGTTCGACGGGTCCAAGGGAGGCACTCTATGGGCTCATCCCGGACTGGCGCGAGGCCAGACACACTTATGGATATGCGTACGGAACCGACAGCGGTGCCACGCGCCGGCCTAGGGTACCAATTCCTAAGGGTACAGGTAACGAAACCTGAAAAGGAAGTGGAGGTCCATCAAGTTCAGCGTGGCCATCTAATCTAAAGGAGACATCAAACGATCGACCGACAGAATGACGTCGTCCGCTCACATCTGCAAGTCAAAAACCAAAGCCCTATGCGTGACTGCCGAGAGCAAACCGGTGCAAAGGCTGGATTTCTTGTTCTAGTTACAAGCAGGGCCCACGATGAAATTTCTCAAGTAAAACGCAGGTACGTCACTGGACGTCTCCAGTGATATCAGTGCCGCCACAGAAGCCTCTTCGTTGGACTGTCACTTTTGTGGGGTAGACAGTCCCCGTGCTTAAAACAAAACGAATTACAATTCAAAAGAATCCCTGTGACTACAAGGGGCACACACACACACTCTTCGTGACTTGATACTGGAAACTGCCCCATGTCTTTACAACCGAGGAACGCACCACAAAGCACCGCCGACCGGGACAGAGACACAGTGTCCTGTGTACACAACGCCCCCAAAATCGCACTCAGCTGCACGGGTCATTAATCTTTGAGAGCTTGGGGGAGGCTGTTTAAGGACTTCGTGTCAGTACTCGTCCCAGAAAAAGTCTGTTCATTCTTGGAGACCGGTTTGTTACAAACTGGTCTTGCGATTAGCACATTTGTATTGATATTGGCACAATGACATATCCCGCGCTTATTTTTTTAATGCTTTTGGCCTGTGCCAGAACACTGACACGCAGCGTCAACAACTGACAGCAGCTCGACCCACAAAGTCCGGGGTCAAAGTGCTTGCGTATACTATATTATTACGGTATGTGATATCAATCATGGCCTCCGATGAGGGAATCAAGATGAGGCTGGTGCTATGAGCCACCTTACTTGTAACCTATTGTCATGATGCACGAATATCCGAAAACATTCGTGCTGGACTTTCTATTTGCAGCTTATCCAACAAGGATGTTTTCTCGCCGGGCTTTGACCATGGGGCCTTAACCTGTACACTCATATACCTGAAGAGAAGCTCATGTCTTAAGCAAGGTTAAACTCAGGTTCAGATCTCTCTCTCTCTGATTTGTTTGCACTTGTCAGGAGATCCGAATGGTACAGATGATGGACGACGATGAACTTTTCACCTATGCAAAGGACAGCCATAAGCTGGATGCCAGTGCCAAGCACCTTTCGTTCTAGCGCTAAAACTCTTCCATTGCAGGGAAGCATGACATGAATGTTCTATGAATCAGGAAATTGGAGCTCCAATTGAGCTTTTGCAGCAGGCTGTAGCTAGCTTTCACATTTTCGGTGTAGAACAAAGCCAGTTTAATGTTTGCAGTTTATCGTTTTGACTTTGGTGAGAGGTTAACCCAAGCGTCACCACTATTAACTGCAGATCCCTCAACACCAAAAATAACCAGCAGTCACCACAGATCACGGCGGCAAGTCAACACACAGTTAAAGCAGACGATCTGCATGGGTGTCTTGTGCACCTTTAGCACTTTGACAAACGCCTTTTCCTTGCTAGAAGGGATGGGCTGGCATTGCTGTTTGACTTTGGTGCTTGCCATAGAGAGTGTTCGTTTGATCCACGAAGAGTTTTCCTTCCATCTACGACTGAGTACGAGAAGCCATCATGGAGATGACGTAAACATCACCGAGGTTTTAAGTTTGTTTCTCGCCTACACTCAAAACAGGAACGCAGCGACCATAGCAACATCTCAAAACCCGCTTGGGGTTGGCAGAGCAAGGTACAAACGGCCCCGTTCTTGAGCGTGAAATACATGTTTTTGATAACAATCTCCCACCAAAGTCCCTTTTGTTTCATTTCATTCTTGTCTTCTCATGTTTCATTCCTTCACGCTTCTTCGCTTCTGGAGCCTTCATGAGAGTCTGTGTCGTGTGTCCTGCCATGCAAACAGCGCGACAGCCAGGTGAAGAAGACAGGCAAGCTTCCAGCTTTGGGCTCGACTTGGAGATGCAGACTGTAACTACTGAGATCGCGAAGTAGGGTACTGGCATTTTACTATGTTATATTTTTTTGCAAAGTTTGTAACTACATGCCTTCAAAGCTTAGGTTGTGAACTTTGCCGCTGGTGGCGTGGCCACTCCTGCAGATGCTGCGTTGTGCCGCTGTTTTGCAAGAACAGTTTTGGGAAAATTTAAACATTTTTGGCAGTGTGTTGAACCGTGAAGTTTTCCAAACATATTCTGGCAAGAGACCCAAACATACTGCGTTTGGCCTGAGACCCTGTTGCCACAGACCCTGTTCACCTTAGTTTTTGGGAAACAGTATGTAGCACTATCTAATGTATTCTAAATTTATCTAAAGCTATCTAAAACTATTCTAAACCTATCTAAAACGACTCTAAACTCATCTAAACCACTCTAAAGCACTCTAAACTGACTCTACACTTATCTAAATCACTCTAATCTTCTCTAAACACATATTCTTCACTAAAATCACTCGAAAACGCACTCTAGATAACTCTAGACTTTTAGAGGAGGTCATCTACAATAGTCCTCACTCGAGTGTTTTCTTATGTTTTAGAGTCCGCTCTAAACTTTTAGAGTGGCACTCTAAAAGTTTAGAGGAAGAGGGTCACACCCTAGAATTAGCTTGTGAATAGCCATTTCCCCACACCTACCCTAGGACCTATCCCTGGGAGCTACCTCCTGGGAGCTAGTTGGGAGCTGGCGAAGCTGGTTGGGGCCACAGACCCTGTCCCCTCTAAAATTTTAGAGTGATTTAGAGTGGGATATAGATGAAGAGGGTCTGTGGCAACAGGGTCTCTGCTGGATTCCCTGAAAACAGTGCCGTGCCAGGTAGAACAAGACAACGGTGAATAAGCAAACTTTCCCACTCTAGAGCTAGAGTACAAGCATGAGAGCACACATAATATGAGAGCACACATAATATGAGAGAGCATGCACATGCGAGCAAGCACATCAGAGCAGGACACATGTGAGAGCACATATTATGAGAGCACACGCAGACACAGACACACATGAGAGCACACATATGTGAGCAAACACATCAGAGCACACATGAGAGAGCACACACACACACAATTCCTTGCGAATGCCACCAAAAGGGACGGCCAAGTCCGAAAATGCGCACGTCTCCACAATGAGAGCGCAGTCAAGGAAATCAACCGCTTGGCACAAGTTTTCGTCCGATACTTTTTTCAAAAGCGGAAGCTCGAGGCATGCTGCTGTGATGTAAGGGATCATCAAATTTGGCGCCGACCCGCGTTCACCCCCATAGAACAGAAGACGATTCAGAAACTAGCTCCGATTCAGAAACTACGATTCAGAAACTTGCGACTCTGAAACCCGATTCAGAAACTCACCCGATTCAGAAACTGGCCGATTCAGAAACTACGGGTGTCCCCTCGATTCAGAAACTGGCCGATTCAGAAACTATCAGATTCAGAAACTGGGGGTTGGGGGGGTGGGGTGGGGATCTAATGACATGTTTGTGTTGATGTAGCGTGGACATGATCGTATTTCACAGACCCGATTCAGAAACTATCCGATTCAGACCCGTTCTAGTTTCCGAATCCTAGTTTCGGAATCCGCGCTCCTAGTTTCCGAATCCTAGTTTCCCGTGGTTCTAGTTTCCGAATCTGCCGCTGACCACACCCATACCTTAACAAGTCCCGTAAGAACCCCAAGTGTGACGCACTGAAGCCCCTTGCCAAGCTTGTCTATTAGACAAAGAGCTGCAAAAAGAAGTCAAGGGCCCCTGTATTCATTTTTTAAACAGGAAGCCTCCGGTTTGTTTCGTTTCGCTTCGGATTCTTAAACTGGAATGATGTCGTTTCGGTTCCATTATCACAAAGAACCGGTTCGTTTCGGTTCCAACTGGGACCGGTTCGTTTCGACTCGCCAGGGGAACCGGTTCGGTTCGTTTCGGTTCAGATCTCTTTTTTCTGTGTGTTCAGAACCTGTTTGATTTTTCACGTGTTGCCTTCATAGCTGCATGTGGCAATGCCGATGCCTGTGGTTGAAGCAGGTTTTGTTTTTTGGTTGGCTGATGTAACGAACCGCCAGAAGTGCTGCTTGACCTCTCAGACAGAACCAGGCTATTTCCAAAGGGATTTTCAGTCTCCCAATTCGTTTTGAGCAGAAGTTAATTTTGCTTTCGGTATTCAATGATCTATGGGCTCGTCTTAAAAGGATTTAACATCTGGAAGGGCTGTGGGACAGATAGTCCGCAAGTTGCCTTTGGTAAGCGAAATTGAGCGAACATGCTTTTTGGCATGGCTTCCCAATGGCCTCAAGTTTCAAGCCGGTGCACCTAACTTTTCTGCAACGCGGCAGGATTGTTTTTTGGCCACGCCAACTGAGGTTTGGAGTTACTGGCCCAAACACCAAAGCATGAATGGGAGGAACCAAAGGCAAACGCAGATGTTTTCTGGAAAGGCATGATTCCCAAAGTCTTTTTCAGACGGACAGGAATCATTTTGGTAAGCTTCCAGACATGAAACGTTGTTAGGAAGTAGCAGTATGAAAATCAATTGTAGTATGTCAATGCTTTCCTCCATGTCAAAGGACCTCTCCATGATGCTTGCTAACAAACCATGATCCAAAAATCAAACATTCAAACCAATGAGTTGCCGAGTTCAATTCTTGGACGCCGTTCTTTCCCGTTCGGCTTCAAACCAATGCCAAACACGCAGATTGCTTGGTGCCAGCTGTAGCAGCATGACTCTGTTCAGAGTTGGTGCAGACAGGGCACCCAAAAAGTTTGCTGAGCCGGAGCAGAGAAGCATTGCTGTCCGGTTCGGTTTGTGGCCGATTTCGGTTCTGTTGGCGACGGTTCCAAGCGGTTCGTGTTTCATACCGGTCTTATGCAAACTGATTTCTTTCCAGTTCGGTTTGCGGTTCGCGGTTTGGTTCCTAGGGCATCCTGAAGAAATCCAAGCCCTTTTTGCGTCCGACTGGTAATCTTTTTTTGAAAAACCTCTTTGACTGTTTGAACTGAGGCATGCAGCTTGGAGTTGACGGTGTTTTTGTCCGGAGCTCATTTCGATAGTGGGTAGATTTAGATGATGATGATGATGATGATGATGCTGCTGCTGCTGCTGGTGCTGGTGCTGCTGCTGCTGCTGCTGCTGCTGGTGGTGGTGGTGGTGGTGGTGGTGGTGATATGATGAACATGACAATGACAATGGGTTTGACGATGTCAGCTTTAAGTGGTTTTCTTTATATCCTCACAGTTTTCATTTTTCTTTTGCGCTTGGTCTGAAAGCCAGCGCAGCCAAGCCATCCCCTTCTGTTCAGAGAAGGACAGGACAGGTCGACCGGCTAAGGCTCGTAATCACACTTTGCTTTGGAGTTACTCGGTCAGGTAGGCAGCGGCATTTTCAAGTCCTCAGATCCTGCCAAGCGAGCACGTGCTATTGTGAAGGCGGCCTTCCAAGATTGGAACAGATGTTTGCGCCACTACTCCTGCAGTACGTAGTGAGGAGTGTGATGCTTGAATAAGATGTCTCTACTCCAACTGAGCCCATAACTTTAGACCCAGGCAACGGCAACAGCGGCAACAGTCACGCATGTGAAGAAACATGAAGAAGCTGATATTTGGACAAGCTTTGGGAGCGCCTCGCAGGCGGTGACCCACTTCAAAGACCCCCAGGTTGGAGTCAATACCACATTCGGCACCATGGCAGCACTGTCGGCACCTTTGGAATTTCCGACTTTCACGAAGGTGATTGCTGAAGTGTCCGAAGACTTGGGAGAGGCCTTTGCTCGGACTCTTCTCTCTCTCTTCTGTCTGTGCAAGCATTATATAACTGTCCAATGTTCTCCTTGTCAGTGCTTCTTCATGCTTTTTCACCAATCAAGTTCCAGGCAATGACTGGCATCAACTGTGATGGTCTTGCAACTCGATTTGCGGACAGGGAAGGTCGGGCTGAATGCCAGCATGTGTACGCCGCTCTCTCTCTCTCTCTCCCCCTCTCTCTCTTCACACCACACACACACATGCACACACACACATATATATATATACATATTACAAAATGTACATATACATACACACTCTTACACACACACACACACTTGAGTCTGAGAACCCTCATCCGCAAGGTGGAAATATGCCTGCGGCAAAGAAGCCGAGAATGGAGTCTTATGCGGACCACAAGGGCCTTGCAGGCTAAGAAGATCTTGTACTTGAAGCAATTTGCTCGGTCGCTTGTTCATTTATTTTTGAGGCACAGCATTCTGATCAGCTCATGCTGTGATTTTTTCGATACCACCCTGGCCGGAGTGGATCGTCGCCATTCGTTGCCGTGCAAACCCACGGAAATCCCAACAATTCGATTTTGGTTTCACTGGCAGATCAGAGATGTCTCTGCAAAGATCCGGAGTCTCTGGAGGAGATTCTAGGATATCCAGAGCCACTTCAGCATTTTCAGCTTTTGTGCCAGGATGAGTGTGACCCAGCTCGGCTGTGCTCACCTATCCTTAAGCAGCATGCCAGAGCATGAGTGTTCGTTCGTTTTCTCCCCGGCATGAGCATACGTGAAGGGGACGCAAAAGCTCGCCTCAATTATGTCGCGCTGATTCTCTAGTCCGTGTTTCCAGAGGTGAATTCTGACAATTGCTCAGCACATTCAGAGATTTTGACAACGGTGGATGGTGCCCTTTGAGTAGAAGAACAACGCACTTAAAATCTTTGGGAAAAAGAAGTCTGCACAGATTGATGAATTAGTCAAGCGTTTTCAATTTTCAATTCTTGTGGCTGAATGTGCCAAGTACTGTAACAGTAGCATCCTCACCAGTGCATCAGCAACGCTTAAATTCATGGCATGGCGATGCCCATTAAAGGGTGCTATAGAGCTGTCGAAGCTGGCCAACCAGGTTGCTGGGAGCTCAGGGTGTGACTGATACTGATAGAGGACAGACATAGACAGGCCCAGGCAGATGAAGAGAGACAACAGACAGAAACGGGAGAGCAGAGGGAGAAAGCATATCTGAGCTAAAAACACGACATGTAGTGTCCTGTCTTTGAAGGTTGCAACCCCTGGCAGATAAATCGTGCAAATATGGAGGATGAACATCAAAAGACTCTATCAAACGCAGGAACAAAAGACAGGTCTATATAAAGGTCCTGAAAAAGCAGACAGAAAAGGACAACGCATAATGCTTGTGAGATACAGCTGCGAGAGCTCTGTTTGAAGCACAGCTCTCCTTGAGGCCCTGTTCTTTTGGCAGGTCTGAAAGAACCACTCTTGCTGCCTGGAGCCCTCAGGCAATGAAATGGGACAGGAGAGAAAGAAAGAACATTGAGCCGACAGAAGAGACGTCAGCGTGCGCGAGAGACACGTGGAGTTTGCTGATGAAGACTTTTGACAGGCAGAATCGCGCGTGATAGGAGAGTTTTGGCCTTTGCTCCATCTTTTTTCTTCTAAGCTACAGTTCTGATCTTTTTTTCACCTCGGCTCGGAGAAGCGTTTGACTTGCCTATTTTTTTCGTAGTCATGCTGATCAAGAGCGTGCATCCTGTTCGGCTCACCCGCAACCACCTACGTTCCAGTGCGACTCTCAGCTGGTGAAGCCTGAGCAGAGAGTGCATCTCTGGTAGTAGCTAGTAACTTACTGTAGTTGAGCTAAGTTAACTAAGTTGTTTGTTTCTTTTTCTTTTTGTCTAGCTTCTTACTTCTTTACCTCTTACGTACCTCTTACTTACTGAATACTTGTTAGCTTACTTGTTAGCTCTTACCCCTTCAAAACTTTGGAACACTTGTACAGAGCCTAGGAGGTGCCCAGCCTCTTCCTCACTAATCGAGTCTTGGCGAGTCCGTTTCTTTGCGTTTTGATTTAGTCACTCAATCCAGACTCAGCTGTTTTTGTTTGTATCATGGAAGATTTTCCTAATGAGGTACTCAACTCCATGCGACTAGCAGCGCTCTTGCTGGCTCTCACGAGAGCCTTTGAGCTGCCTCGGATTCACCCTGAAGCAACATCCTTGCTCAGCGATGGCAAGTGGTGGGCGCAGGTGAATCGGTTTGTTGCATGCCAGTGTTTTGGTTTCCAAGGCATTGCTGATAGAAGTGTGGAGTGTTGGTACGGTGATTCTTGCTTGCATGGCTTGCTCCACTTTGCTGCCAAGTGGAAGGTTGGGGACCATGTTGTACACACTCCGCACGCTTCAAGTGGCCTTAGCACCAACATCGGGAACTACTACTATGCGTACGGCAAGGAGCTGAGCCTGGCCAGAGCTTCTCTTGTGAGCAACCGCCAAAACCAGCGATGACCGGGTAGTACAGAACTGTAGTGAAATAGATTGAAATAGGAGGTTTGCTGGAAGCTGGAAAAGTGATAGCCCTCCCTGAAAAGCGATAAGTGATAACCGTGTCAATGCAGCTTTTGGGTAGGTTCAGCTATGTTGAAAGTGTGGATGAGGCCCGAAAAAGCGCTAGGCCCGTTCAAAAGCATGTAATATGTATATATATATATATAAGCTTCAAATATCATGTTCCCTTCGTTGACCTGCGGTTCTGACAGAAGCTCAGGCAACACCTTAACTTATCAAAGCAATACTTCTTATGTGATACCTCCGTATTGCTTCTGAATAATGTTGTACTTTGTACTGCTTACAAATGGACGCTGTCTAAGGTTCCCACAAAGCTCTCAATGACGAGCTGCGGGACAAGCGTGTAGGTGGTGCTGGCCGTGTTCATATTTTCCACCTGCCTGAGGAGCCCTGGCCAATGTCAGGTTTTTGCAATACCTGCAGGATCGATCTAGCCTGGAAAGTATGTATATATATATATATGCTATATGCATATTGACATTGACATGTATGTGTATAGAATGTAGAGCACCCTGACGCTGCCGACTCCCTTCTTTGCGGGGTCAGCCTGTCCACAACCTAGCCAAAAGCAACTATGCCAGAGACGAAGCCTACGCGCGTCCGTTAAGCCAAACAACATAGGCGTGTGCGTGTGTGCGTGTGTGTGTGTGTGCCCCTTGGAATCACAGGGATCCTGTAGGATTGATTTGCTTCGTGATGTTCTTTCAGCGCGGGGCAGTAGCCCACTCATGAGTCTACTGCCAACGAAGCTGCTCATGAGTTGGAGGATATCGGAGCTGATCACTCCGACGTACCTGCAATGTTTGTAATGTTCTCAAGCTGTGACTCTCATATCCTTCAAAGGGCTAGTGCGCGCGGCAGACAAGAGCGTACGATGTCATCTTGGCCCCTTCTCCTTTTGAAGACCTCCAGGTCCGGTGGTTCTTACTTGCGCTCTTAGGAAAGGGTAACCTAGGCTGGCGTGTGGCAAACCGCTTTCAGTTCAGGACGCATAATCATGAGTGGCTTCATGCCAGCCCAGGGTGACCCCGAGGAGTGGCCCCTGTGGACCCGTCGAACGGGGGTTTGTCGACCGTATCCCCTGCCCGGATACAAAGCAGCTCGCGGCGAGCGTAGGTGGCCTAGGCCAAAGTTATTCGCCAAGACTTGACGGACTATTGAATTCCAAGCTGGGCGCCATTTTGGCATGCCTTTAGGTGACCACAGCCGCCATTTTGGCATGGCACAGGGTGACCAGAGCGGTCAGAGCATTTTCTAGGTTCGTTGGAACCTGCCGGGACGTTAGAGTGATGATTCCTCCCCCACCTTTCCCTGCTCCTCCCGCCATGGCTCAAGCGGTCCTTCATCGGGAAATTCTTCATGTACATGGATTGTTGGACCTCACCCTTGAGATTCACCGCTTCTCGTAGGATCTTTTTTCACCCAACCTCACCCTCGTCCGGAGCTTAATTGAAAAAGAACGCCTGACTCGGGGAGGCGTGTGTGTGTGTGTGTGTGCCCCTTGGAATCACAGGGATCCTGTAGGATTGTTTTGCTTCATAATGTTCTTTCAGCACGGGGCAGTAGCCCACTCATGAGCCTACTGCCAACGAAGCTGCTCATGAGTTGGGGAGGAGCTGATCACTCCGACGTACCTGCAATGTTTGTGATGTTCTCAAGCTGTGACTCTCATATCCTTTAAAGGGCTAGTGCGCGCGGCAGACAAGAGCGTACGACGTCATCTCGACCTGAGCGTCGTCCTTTGGAAGACCTCCAGGTCCGGTGGTTCTTACTTGCACTCTTAGGAAACGGTAGCCTAGGCCGGCGTGTGGCAAACCGCTTTCAGTTCAGTACGCGTAATCATAAGTGTGCAGCCCTTGGAGTCACAGGGATTCCCTCATATGTTTTCTTTCATCAGCAGGGGGCAGCAGGGAGTCCACAGTTCTGCTGCCAACGAAGACAGCTGTGGATAGTCCGTGAAGCAGATTGGGACGCCAATCTGTGTACCTTTCTCCTCTGCTGACTAGGCTCGGTTAGGTTCTCTCAGGTCGGCAGATGTGCACGAATGCTGTCATTTGTCGCCGCGTTTCGTTTTTTGGGAGGTGTTGAGAGTTTGAACACTTGACTGTAGCGCGCCTGAACCCACAGGCTTTTATACCTAGGTAGGCGCGTGGCATGTGGCATTCAGTTCAGGACGCTTTTCCATATAAGCGTGTCTCTCCTTAGGAGCCCGACGAGTGCCCCCTTGTGGAGCGGTCGAACGGGGTTTTTCCAACGTACCCCTGCCCGGATACAGAGCAGCTTGCAGCGAGCGTGGGAGGCTTACGCCAAAGTTATTTGCCAAGACCAGATGAATTATTGAAACCAAGTAGGCAGCTTTCAAGCATGCCATAAGGTGACCGCAGCGGGCTGAGCAGCCAGCCATTTTGGCAAGGCGCAAGGTGTTTTTTGTATGGCCCATTGGGACTTGTCTCCACTTTAGGCGCACACACACAGCGTGTACACTTGCAGGCCTCCCTGCGTCTTTCAAATGAGGTTTGGTTTCATCTTGCTCCTGTCCCCTCCATTTGGTTCCCCCTTCACCCCCTCCCCTCACACACCTCTTCTTTCCTCTTGTCTTTCATGTCTCCTGCCTTCATGTCTTGGCGCCTCATCCCTTACTTCTTTTGCGCGGACATTCGTCCAGCCCTTAGTTTGTACGCGCGCATTTACATCTACTCCAAACCCAGGTTTCAGGTTGCTCAGGTTTGACAATGAGGCGGGGTTCATTGTTTGTCCCTGTGCGCGTGGTTCCTCTTCATCGCAACCGCGTGCGCTTTTGTCCTGTCTTGCCCGTTTTCATGTCTTCATCTTGTTGTCCTTGCTGCGCGCACACATGCACATCAGCCCTCGCCTTAGTTCTTCTCGCCTCCCCTTGTGGGAGGCGTGTGTGTGTAACCCTTGGAGTCACAGGGATTCCCTTATATGTTTTTCTTTCATCAGCAAGGGGCAACAGTCCACAGTTCTGCTGCCAACGAAGACAGCTGTGGATACTCCGTGAAGCAGATTGGGACGCCAATCTGTGTACCTGCAATTTCACTAGTGTGATGTTCGGTAATCACTTTCTCCTCTAGCTGACCAGGCTCGGTTAGGTTTCTCTCAGGTCGGCAGATGTGCGCGAATGCTGTCATCTTGTCGCGGCGTTTCGTTTTTTCGGAATTTGGAGACCTTGGGGGGTTGAGAGTTTGAACACTTTCTTGACTGTAATGTACCTGAACCCACGGGCGTTCATACCTGGGTGGGCGCGTGGCATGTGGCGTTCAGTTCAGTACGCATTTCCGTAAGTGTGTGTGAAGCCCTTGGAGTCACAGGGAACCCTTTTATTTTTAGTGTTTGAGAAGGGGAGTTGGATGTTCATCCACATACGCCATCCCTCTCACCATTGGTGGATGGCCAATGACGAGGCCAATGGTTCCGCCCTGTCGTCGCTTCGTTTTGGCCTCCTAACGGCTAGAGATGATCAGGCCCCTTACACGCCTTCTCAGGAATTTGGGTACCTAGGTTGCCGTGTGGCGAGCGGCGTTCAATTCAGTACGCGTTTCCTAAGTGTGTGTTTGTGTGTGTGAGTCTGACCAGCAATGAGGTTTTATTTGTTAACATATTTTTTTGGCAAACACGGGCTTGGGGCTTTCTAATTTTGAGACACGACCATATCCAATTTACCTAGAGTGTTGTCAAAACTCGTTTTGGAAACTGCGTTGCCCTGCCACTGGTTAGAGAGGTGTGAGGGGTGCGCATCAGTTTTAAAGCTGGCATGCAATTAGCCACAAGATGAGGGTTGATGTCCAAAAGGGTTCCATACGTTTTAGTATACCGACATGACACACGATTGATTTGGTAGTGTGTGCCTTTGTTGTCAGGGAAAAGAGTCGCTGGCCACAACCTTGCCAAAAGTTGCAGGGCGCCGTGATTCACTG